AGTTTCATGTCATTTTGTAAGGGCCAGTATTAACCAACACCAAAAGCAAGCTTGTATTTTTTTCCCCTTCTGTTTAGAATCTTTAGTCCCCTCTAGTGTCCAGTTACTAAAATCATAAAGTCACTTATTTTGTTATGATATACAATAACCTAAAATAGCCAAAATCTGGTCCCCGCAAGAAGCTGTTTATTTTTTATAGTTAATTCCAAAATCTTATAGTAAAAGTCAATATTCCAAATTTAACTGGACCCTTAATCCATTTATAACTTTCTTAGATCAAAATGTTATTTAGCTTTATTTTGTTATGATATACAATAACCTAAAATAGCCAAAATCTGGTCCCCGCAAGAAGCTGTTTATTTTTTATAGTTAATTCCAAAATCTTATAGTAAAAGTCAATATTCCAAATTTAACTGGACCCTTAATCCATTTATAACTTTCTTAGATCAAAATGTTATTTAGCTTTTTGCTGTTTATTTCAAATTCTTTAAGTTCTTTAGCTTATAATTATTTTTTCTTTTGTTCAGAGTTGGAGCCAAATTCACCCAGTGACTTTTCAAACTGGTCATTCCGAAGGTCTCTGATAGTTTTAAGGTGATTTCCAAAAGTGATTAAAAAGTGAGGCTTGCAAACTTAGTGTCCTTTAAAAGGCTCCACCATGGTTGTGAGCAAGATGGCTAATCCCTTCATCTCCAGGAACTCAAACCCATGGAAGACCACTGTCCTGCAGTCTACTCATGAGGAGCAGCTGTCTGGAGCATGTGTGGCCAATCTCCTGTCCTCTCCTTATCTGGAGGGGTTCTGAAGAACCAGTCTAATCCCCGGTTCTTTGGTCTGTGCCATGCTTATTAGCTCAGGGTTGAACTATGAAGTCCTTGGAGTTCTCTGAGTTTGGTTGTTTTCTTGCAGACATTTTGTTACCTGGCTAGGTAACATCTTCAGTGCTAGCATGATAATAATTGTCATTAGTGTTTTGCTTGGCCCAAAGCTGTAGTTGGTAGCAGAATCAAAATTCATTATAAGTACAAAATCAAGCATGGAAATCACAGAAAACCTGACTAAACAAGATCAACAAATAGAAAACTCATAATCAAACATTATTCTAGCAGCCATCAGCTTGGAAGCTTTTTCAGCTTGAGTTTTCAGAGATCTTTTACTCACAAGGAGTCCTATTTCAGAGATGGGCATTTTTTTGGTTTGGGTACTGGTAACAACTGAATTTGTAGCTTCTTCTGCTTATATTTCTGTAAAAGAATGTGGAGATAACTTTGATGAAGGAATACAAGATCTGTTAAGGGAAGAAAAACGACAACTCAGTCCTGGAAAAGAGATAGTATGAAAAAGAAACCCCAAATAACCCCACCTTAGTTCTGTTTGGTGTAAGAGGGAACAGAAGAAAACTCTGTCTGGCTAATAGCATTCCTGTAATCCTTGTGGTGTCTGTTTCCTAGCTTGGCCTACTTCAAAGGGTTGACAGTTTCCTAGGATTGAAGTAGTTCATCTGGCACTTTTCAAAAGGTAGTTTTCTGAGGGACTAAGAAACTCTTAATTCATTTAATCAACATTTTCTAAAGAACTTTCTCCAGGGAGCTCTAGATTTTTATCTGAAGAGAGTCATCCAAGGGGAAGACAACATCTGGTTCCCATTGAAGTCTCCGACTTCCTTAATAATACAGCTAATTTGCCAAAAAAGAAAAGAGAATCCACCACAATATAAAGTTCTTCTGGAATATAATGCAAATCTTTTCCATTTTCTAGAGGACTGACCATAACTTCATTTTGATACCACTTTGTTGCAGGTGGTGTCCTTCAAATGTAGAGAAAGAGTATGGATGCTTATCGAGAAATACATTATCGTTTTAGAATACTTGTGACATTGTGAAACTTTTGAGTAAATAGAGTCTCTCTCTCACACACACACACATTGAATAAAATGTTGTACTTTTTCAGGCCACCCAGAAATCTTTCCCTTGGTCCTCACTGAAAAAACACAGGAAATATTTAATTGCTGTGCTGATGTAGATGTAACAGCTGAAAATCCTTACAAGCTCATTAAAAAGGAAGATATTATTAATGATATGAAGACAAGAGCTGCAGTTTCCGACTTCCACCCTATCAAAAAAATTATATTAGTAAGTTACCCTTCCAGGCATGTTGTATTTGTGATTGGCACTTGTGTTGGCACTTGGTGTACTTGACTATATCACCTTCAATTATCCTAGATTGCATTGTGTTAGACTTTTAATGACATTTGAGATCCTTGGATTAAAAATGGTCAGCCCAAAGGCTTTGTTAAAAATCCACACCATATTGCAGAAGAGGCTATCTATCTCTGTTATGCATGTGAAAAATATAAATTCAAAGGCAGGAAAGGTTGGACTATGGAACAATGGATAGCAACTGATATAGAGTTGAGAGATAATGTTATATTCTGAATAAGCAGGCAGATACAAAATTAGCTTTTCTTTGTAAAAGGGAAATTATTGCTTTTGGAAACAGATTTTATTAGTCTTTATTAGTTTTTATTAGTCTTTATTTTAGATTTTATTATTTTATTTATTATTTTTAAGATTGAATTCTTTGGTTAAAAAGAAATGTTTACATCACCTTAAAGCCAGGTTGGGCGAGACTACGTGAGCTCCATGATGCTGTACCCACTTACAATTCCCTAAAATTTCTCTGCCAAAATTCAGCAAGAGCTGCTAAATAACAGATATAATAACAGAATATATATATATAACAGAAATAATATTTGTGTCCAAATTTTAATCAGGAAACAAAGTTGTATTTTATGGTGACTTCTGTCAGCCGAATGGGTTCTGCCAATGCAGTGTTTCCTTTCCTCTGCAATATGCTTACCAAACTCTTTTCTAGAGATTTTGAGGATCCCCTAGGGCAAAATGGAAACTTGAAGAAAAAAGAAGGAAAAAAACCCTCCTCTGTGTATCATGACATGTTGTTGTATTTATCATAACCACCCCACTACAAAAAACTCTGGGCAAATGTCTGATATCTCTGCTAATGGTGAGATCTCTGCTACTGGCTAAAGGAGTCTTCCTCCCTTCTATTCTCTCAGTTATATTTGGAAGTTGGTATTTTTTCTAATTACCAAAATTCAATTATCCATATTCACACAGGATTATCCTGGCGAAGAACTCCTGATAGTATTTGACAAAGAATTAAAATATGGACAAATCTTTTATCTTATTGCAAGTGAAGAAGCCAAGGAAACCATTTTAAATGTAAGATATTTTTCAGTTATTTGATATGTACATCATAGATGGTCAAAACAGTCTTCTGAATAGAGAGTGATGTAACTGTGTCACAATATTGTCTTTACCTTTATTTTAAAATATTTAAATAAATTAAATATTAACACTCTTACAATCTTTCCCTCGATAGCCACCAGAGCCAGAAGAAGAGGAAGGAGAAGTTAAAGAAGGAGTCCCTGAAGAAATTTATAAACCTCCTGTGCGCAAACCTTGGGTTTCACTTGGAAGTGAAAAGGAAATTGAAGAAGAATCAGTTAAGGAATCAACAAGGAAGGTCAGAAGATTTGATTTTATTCAGAGAAATCTAAGGGAGTAACCATGTAATACTCTACAGAAGCAGATTCCAGATATTTATGAGAAGGTTTAATGAGCCTCTTATTAAACCTTAAACCTTAAGCCTAAATCTCAACATACTGGTCCCATAACAAACATACATCTAGATAACTGGAGAAAAATCTATATGCATTTCTCATCCACATTTACATCTTTCATATTTTTTCTTTATACTTCTTCCTCCTTCTCTCTTTTTTGATAATTTTATACAGTATTTAGCTAGGCATTGTGGGTCACCTTGCATGCCATTTTGGGATGTTGGTTTAATAATAAAAATCACTAAATTCAATCTGTGTTCCTTTGCATACTAATTTAGGAATATACTCAGTTAATTTCTGAGTATACATGTATAGACTTGCTGTTAATTATGTAATGCACAACGCAGGAAACAATGTGCAATATATTGTTATAGTTAAATTTTACCTTAGAGAACAAATTATAAGGGTATCCTTATGTGCAGTTAGTATTAAAATAATTTTAAAATACAAATAGCAAATATTTCTTCTGGTATAAGGATTATTTATTTTAGTAGACTTATGTTGTCCTATATAATCTGAGAGTTCAGTTGTTCTTTCCCATGGGAGATAAGAAACATTTTCAGTATGACTCTTTTTAAAATTTCCATCAAAAACAGCTTATAGATCATAAGGACCCATTATAAAGATGACATCTTATTCCTTTTGAGTTGTCCTATCAATGCAGCATTAAAAATATAATACCAGATTAAAAGCAAGCACTAAAAAAGCCAAGCCATATGAATGTAACCGTCAGGTCCTGACTTCTAGGACTGACACTGCTCCAAAGAAATCCTTTCATTAAGAATATTTTTATTGGAATTTCAGATTAAATATATGATTTCTCAGCCACACAAAGAATTTGGGGTTCGGGTTAAGTTCCATAACCGAAATGCGACAATTGACAAACACGCTTATGTGGAGTGTATGCCCTATCAAGACAAGAACTTCACCCTCCGGCAGCTAGAGAAACATATTGGCACTCAAGTAGTTCCAGAAGAAGAAGATACAGGAACTCAGACAAAATGGTATAAAACTTATTATTTAATTTTTTTAAAAAAAGAAGAAAAATTGTGTCTGTTTTTTTGAGGGAAAGAGGATTTTGGAGAGGAGTAACAACTCCTTCTTTTTTTAACCTAGAAAGAATATGTGAGAGAGATTTCAGATATATTTATTCCATCTGCATTCTGCAGTTCGTCGATGATAGAGTTCAGAGCAATGTACATGGAGTTCTGAGTGATTTTCTGTTCAGTAGTTACTGATCAGACTCAGATTGACTTAAATTCAGAAGGTTGCTGTATTATGTGGGTTCAGGGTCTGGCTCATGCCCAAGGAAATACACCATGAATCTTCACCTGGGGATTATGTAAATTGAAATCTAATCGATAAGGGGGGCATCAGATCAATAGACCTTGGTCTATTGGATAAGCCATATTGCCCCCAAACACTCTTAGCACTAAAACGAAAACCATGCTTTATAAACCATATATCATGCTAAGCAAAAAGCAAACCAATGAACTCACAACTGAATGTGCTACAAACAATGGCACCCATATCTCTCCCTCTTTCTCAGTTAGATTTACTTATGTTTCCTCAACCCTACAGCGTCAGCCAATACTGTGGAGTGGTTGCCAAAATCCTGGGGAATAAGTAAATGCTATAGGAGAAACACAATTTAAATTATGATATCTAGCCTTTGGTGTTGGGAACATCTTTTTCTCCCACTCCCCATTTTTAATTCATGTGCTTTAGGACCTATCCCAAAAATGCAACGACACAGTACTACCCTAGAGAATTTTCAGAAAACGAAAAGGAGGTGTACTTGTCATCGGAAGATCTGAAAAACTTTATTGTATCTGTGGCTTTACGGTTAGTATCATGCTCCACGAAATGTAATATACTGAAATAATTTTGTGCAATAAACATACTAACATCCTGCGTTTTTAGTGCTAATTGATGAGGTACCAGAATTCATACATTATTCATCTGTTTAGATATTATTAGAGACAAAGAAATGAGTATATTATATTATAATATTTACCTTCCCTTATACTCAGAACAAACCTCCCTTTTAAGCATCGTATATCTTAGCTTGGATCCAAAAAGACATTTCATTTATCCCGAGGAAGGTTGAAATTTGAGCCATGGCTTCCTAATATTTATCCCCATAAAAAATTCCAAGTGACAGACTCAAGCCCTCAAATACAAGCGCAATACTTCAATGGAGTACAGAATGCAAACCCTTCACTGTCGAATAACTGTAGCCAAATTCCACATTTGCGGTCTGAAGCTTCAGAGCAGTCTTAAGCTTCCACACATCTCCTTTTGCGTTAGCCGGTGTATGGAACTGCCTGACTGGAATAAGGTACAGCAGAGGGAGTTCTGATGCACTTCCTTTCAGATCTCTTATTCTTAACCGGCACCTATTTTGCCCTCATTCTGCATGTATTATCTGCAAAAACAAAGACGTTCTGTACGGCTTTAGTGGCAGATGCAACTTCTCAGAATTAATTCACTGACTTTATACTCTGATTTGAGCAATGTTGGTTTGGTGTGATTCGCAGTTATTAAACTGATGAGGCATCCCCGGGGCGGGGGGAAGGGGATCTTTGCTTGGCTCTGTAAATAAGCTGCAAGGGGTGTACCCTGCTCCTGGCTTATAGCAAGCTTTGCCTACTTTGCTCCTCTGGACTCACTAGAGCTGACCTTTGTGGAGTGAATGGGAGGGAGAATTCAGGTGGTCTGCTCAGCTGGGAACGTACCTTTACCAGCTGCGTGCAGTAACACCGGCAACCCCAAATAGTGAGAGCATTTGCAGGGTACCTACATGGCTGGCCAGATGGCCCTACCCTGCAGATTATCATCAGAACCTGTTGTTGCTGAAAGTAGATAATACCCCAGGTATTTTAATTTGTTGCTCTTTCTTTCTCTCTCTCTCTCATTTTCCCGTGCCACAGAGTTGAAGTGGCCCTGCAACAAAATGAAATCATGAATGTTTTTTTTGATGATTGGAAAGCTCTTGCAGAAGATGAAAGTGGCTTTGCAGGTAAATCTGATGTTACCCTGAAGGAATATCAGTCGTTTACAGATCTGCATTATCTCAAGGACAGAACCATTAGCTGCGTCTGCTGGCACCCGACTATTTATGGTAAGGTTTACAAAAAATTGGTCCACGTTTTCAAACATTGTGAGGTGCATTTGGAAATCTTTAAAAAGCAGCGGCTCTTGTAATGTATCTATTCTGTCTACTCTGAAAAAGCAAACGGGAAGTGCCACAAGCAAGGCGTCTGAAATATTCTAGCAGATAGTTTATAATACTGTGGAATCAGAATTGCCAACGTAACAAGTGATGAGTGTTGGCTGATGGTGTACATCTCTTCTAAAACAGCTTTGATAAATTCTGAAAGCAGTTATTGAGTAAAATTTGGAGATAGCTTTTTGAAAAGAATGGAAATCTTTAAATTTTGGATGGCCAGCCAAGGTCACACAATTTTTCTCTTAAAAAAAAAATACAAACAAACAACCAGAAAGAGAGAGAGAAAAAAGGGAATAAGATGGATTAATTACGCTTCCAAAAGGTTAGTGCCTTTATTTGACTAAAACAGGGTTGTCCAAATTTGGCCACTTTAAGATGAG